ATATATATATATATATATATATATATATATACAGTACCAGTCAAAACTTTGGACACACCTACTCATTCAAGGGTTTTTCTTTATTTCTACTATTTTCTACATTGTAGAATAATAGTGAAGACATCAAAACTATGAAATAACACATATGGAATCAAAAAAGTGTTAAACAAATCAAAATATATTTTAGATTTTAGATTCTTCAAAGTAGCCACCTTTTGCCTTGATGACAGCTTTGCACACTCTTAGCATTCTCTCAACCAGCTTCACCTGGAATGCTTTTCCAACAGTCTTGAAGGAGTTCCCACATATGCTGAGCACTTGTTGGCTGCTTTCCCTTCACTCTGTGGTCCGACTCATCCCAAACCATCTCAATTGGGTTGAGGTCGGGTGATTGTGGAGGCCAGGTCATCTGATGCAGCACTCCATCATTATCCTTCTTGGTCAAATAGCCCTTACACAGCCTGGAGGTGTGTTGGGTCATTGTCCTGTTGAAAAACAAATGATAGTCTCACTAAGCACAAACCAGATGGGATGGCGTATCGCTGCAGAATGCTGTGGTAGCCATGCTGGTTAAGTGTGCCTTGAATACTAAATAAATCACAGACAGTGTCACCAGCAAAGCACCCCTACACCATCACACCTCCTCCATGCTTTACGGTGGGAACCACACATACAGAGATCATCCATTCACCTTCTCTGCAACTCACGAAGACACGGCGGTTGGAACCAAAAATCACAAATTGTGCACGCAGTCTCCTCTGAACAGTTGATGTTGAGATGTGTCTGTTACTTGAACTCTGTGAAGCATTTATTTGGGCTGCAATCTGAGGTGCGTTATTCTAATGAATTTATCCTCTGCAGCAGAGGTAACTGGGTCTTCCTTTCCTGTGGCGGTCCTCATGAGAGCCAGTTTCATCAAATTGCTTGATGGTTTTTGCAACTGCACTTTAAGAAACGTTCAGTTCTTGAAATTTTCCAGATTGACTGACCTTCATGTCTTCAAGTAATGGTGGACTGTCATTTCTCTTTGCTTATTTGAGCTGTTCTAGCCATAATATGGACTTGGTCTTTTTCCAAATAGGGCTATCTTCTGTATACCCACCCTACCTTGTCACAACACAACTGATTGGCTCAAACGCATTAAGAAGGAAAGAAATTCCACAAATTAAGTTTTAACGAGGCACACCTGTTAATTGAAATGCATTACAGGTGACTACCTCATAAAGCTGGTTGAGAGAATGCCAAGAGTGTGCAAAGCTGTCATCAAGGCAAAGGGTGGCTACTTTGAAAAATCTCAAATATAAAAAACATTTTGATTTGTTTAACACTTTTTTGGTTACTACATGATAACATATGTGTTATTTCATAGTTTTGATGTCTTTACTATTTCTCTACAATGTAGCAAATAGTAAGAATACAGAAAAACCCTTGAATGAGTAAGTGTGTCCAAACTTTTGACTGGTACTGTATATATTCCGGACTTTGACATTGCTCATTCTGATATTTCTTAATTTGTTTCTTGAATTTTCATTTTATTTGTGTGTATTGTTTTGTATTGTTAGGTATTACTGCACTGTTGGAGCTAGAAACATAAGCGTTTCACTGCACCTGCGATAAAAATTTGCAAAATATGTGTACGGGACCAATACAATTTTATTTTATAGCCTATGGTTTTGAGAATACAGTCACTGCCTTTATACCTGCATAGCCTATATGAGCATATACAGCACATTGTTTGTTCATTAACTGGTTTATATTTAAGCAATAAGGCCTGATGGGGTGTAGTATATGGCCAATATACCACGGCTAAGGGCTATTCTCACGCACGATGCAACGCGGAGAGCCTGGATACATACAGCCCTTAGCAGTGGTATATTGACCATGTACAGTGCATTCAGAAAGTATTCAGACCACTTGACTTTTTCCACATTTTGTTACATTAAAGCCTTATTCTAAAATGGATTAAATAAAACATATTCCTCATCAATCTACACACAATACCCCATGACAAAGCAAAAACAGGTTTTTATAAATTTTAGAAAATGTATTAAAAACAAAAAACTGAAATACCCGATTTACATAAGTATTCAGACCCTTTGCTATGAGACACAAAATTGAGCTCCGGTGCATCCTGTTTTCGTTGATAAGCCTTGAGATATTTCTACAACTTGATTGGAGTCCACCTGTGGTAAGTTCAATTGATTGGACATGATTTGGAAAGGCACACATCTGTCAATATAAGGTCCCACAGTTGACAGTGCATGTCAGAGCAAAAACCAAGCCAGGAATTGTCCGCAGAGCTCCGAGACAGGATTGTGTCGAGGCACAGATCTGGGGAAGGGTACCAAACAATTTCTTCAGCATTGAAGGTCCCAAGAACACAGTGGCCTCCATCATTCTTTAATTGAAGAAGTTTGGAACCACCAAGACTCTTCCTAGAGCTGGCCGCCCGGCCAAACTGAGCAATCGGGGGACATGGGCCTTGGTCAGGGAGGTGACCAAGAACCCGATGGTCACTGACAGAGCTCCAGAGTTATTCTGTGGAGATGGGAGAATCTTCCAGAAGGACAACCATCTCTGCAGCACTCCACCAATCAGGCCTTTATGGTAGCCAGACGGAAGTAAAAGGCACATGACATTCGCTTGGAATTTGCCAAAATGCACCTAACTCTCAGACCATGAGAAACAAGATTCTCTGGTCTGATGAAACCAAGATTGAACTCTTTGGCCTGAATGCCAAGCTTCACGTCTGGAGGAAACCTGGCACCATCCCTATGGTGAAGCATGTTGGTGGCAGCATCATGCTGTGGGGATATTTTTCAGAGGCAGGGACTGGGAGACTAGTCAGGATCAAGGGAAAGATGAACGGAGCAAAGTACAGAGAGATCCTTGATGAAAACCTGCTCCAGAGCGCTCAGGACCTCAGACTGGGGGCGAATGTTCACCTTCCAACTGGACAACGACCCTTAGCACACAGCCAAGACAACGCAGGAGTGGCTTCGGGACAAGTCTCTGAATGTCCTTGAGTGGCCCAGCCAGAGCCCAGACTTGAACCCGATCAAACATCTCTGGAGAGACCTGAAAATAGTTGTGCAGCGACGCTCCCCATCCAACCTGACAGAGCTTGAGAGGATCTGCAGAGAAGAATGGAAGAAACTCCCCAAATACAGGTGTGCCAAGCTTGTAGTGTCATACCCAAGAAGACTCTACGCTGTAATCTCTGCCAAATGTGCTTCAACAAAGTACTAAGTAAACGGTCTGAATACTTATGTATATGTAATATTTCAGTTTATTTTTTGTTAGCAAAAAATTCTAAAAACCTGTTTTTGCTTTGTCATTATGGGGTATTGTGTGTAGATTGATGAGGAAAAACATACAACTTAATCAATTTTAGAATAAGGCTGTAACGTAACAAAATGTGGAAAAGGTGAAGGGGTCTGAATACTTTCCGAATGCACTGTACCACAAACCCCAGAGGTGCCTTATTGCTATCATAAACTGGTTACCAACATAATTAGAGCAGTAAAAAAAATGTTCGGGTCATACTGGTGCTATACTACGATCTGATATACCACGACTGTCAGCCAATCAGCATTCATTGCTCGAACCACCCAGTTTATAATAAACAATTTAACATTTAATTAAATATTATGCAATTAACCCATTACATGTATTGGTGGAAGTGGTGTGGAATGGTGGAGGTGTGGCAATTGAATGGGCCAATCACAAGCAGCTAGAAGGTGAACGCGAGACCAGGGCAGGGCCAGTTTGGCTCGTATCCGCCAACCAGCATGTGCTGAGAACAAACACAGCTGCCCTCTCATGACGTAACAGGGTTTAAGGGGTTATAAAAAACCTACTGCTGTTCTTTTACCGCTGTATGACTCGAGGATTCACTCTATAGGTTAGGAATTCACGTGTTATAACGAGGCATCAACACAAAAGGATTTCACATAGTTTTTTCCTGATCCAACTTTTCACTCTTCTATTTACGGTAAACATATGTTCATAGGCCTACAGACGACCTGTCAAAGGTTTAGTGATGGAGAATGTAATGTAAAGTTAAATAATTGATGTTACTGGTTATGCTGTGATACCGTGTTTTTATGTTCTTGTATACTGGTTGGTGTTGGCTACAGATGTTGACTAAGCCTGTTGCCGTCTTGTTTTTCAGAATGTGTAGTATGTTTCTTGGATACATCGTTTTAGAACGTTTTTCTATGGAAGAAAAAGGCAACCAAATCATAGTTCAAAGTAATTTCGACCAGAGACACACCTTTAGAGAATCCTGATCTCTGCCTTCACCGTCCGGGTGTCTTAAGTGAAGGTAAAGTATTCATACTTTACAGGAACTGGATTATGCTAACGAGACATTGTGGCAACTTCAAGTGCAACATTGCTTTAAAAAAACGGTTGTATAAAGCTATTTCTTTCGCCCGACCTCCAGATGTAAAAGCCACATTTTTAGAAGGTAAATAGGAAGTTTAAATGTCTCCAACGTTAATTGTATTATAATTCAACATTTTAATATAGGCTTGTCTGTTATTTTGAAGTTGTGGCGTTCATACTTTAGTTTTCCGGTCGCTACATTTTATCCCTGCACGCACAGTGTTGGCTGAATAGTTTGCTCATTGTATCTGTTTAGCATCGCATAAACGGTACAGCTCTCCCTTTGTTGACTTGAATCATTTGTTTAGTCAAGCACTACTGACATGGCAACAGGCGGATCCGCCAATGGCAACAGGCGGATCCACTGTCTCATAACAGTTCCGCAAATTGAGTAGACCACAGAGCTAGGTCTGTTGAAACAACAGTTTGCTGCCCCTCCTCCACATGCTTGGGCCCCTTGAGGACAGTATGTTCTTAGGTCAACGGTAGGCTCCAATAGTCTAGTCACTTGTTGTGCCAACATACAATTGTGATATAGCAACATGTCAGTGAAATGATGACTATTGCCATTTATTTGTAAAATTATTAATGTGTTGTCCCTCCCTTTTCAGAATTGGCTCCCTTCCCTGTCTCGTCTTCACCTCATCAGTCTTCTTAAATATTCACATTCCATTCATCTTGATAAAATGGTTGGATTCAGACCTACGGACGTGCCCCCAACCGCTGCTGTGAAGTTTATCGGTGCTGGAACAGCGGCCTGCATTGCTGACCTATTCACCTTTCCATTGGACACAGCCAAAGTCCGGCTACAGGTAAGCCTAAGGAGCATGTGCTCTTTGTTGAAATGAACTGGTGGGGTCCTCTATTGTAGCATCATTAAATGGAGAATCCAAGCATTGCCCTCTTCAGCCGTTGGGGACCCAGGGTGGTTGCAACTGGTCATCGTTTCTCATATGAAATCACGTGAAAGAACTCATTTGACAGGTCAAATGTGATGAGCCATCATACTAAAAGGGATTAAGGGATGCTTGAGAGATTACTGCTGTATCAATCATATTGTCTCTTTAACTCATTATTACTGTCATGGGTCCACATTTGGAAACTTGGTTGGTCCACAATATGATACCCAAATCCATCACTGACCCAAGATGACCCCTTTCATTTTTGGTTAATTGTATTCACCTTATTTTATTTTGCCAACATTAAAACTGACTTGCGCCTTCTATTTCTTTCAATTTTGTCCCTCTTGACTTCCTTCCCCCAACTAAGCGGTCCAGGAGGTGATGGTTAAGCCCTAGGAATCGGCAGGCCCTGGACCTAGCATCGTGGACACTTGTGGCTGGATTCTCCTCCCACATCCGCCAGTGCTCCCTCCCCAGTGTCTGTTAAGTCTCTCCATGCCCCTTTTGTTCTGCACAGATCCAGGGAGAGGGGAAAGGTGCGGCAGCTAGTCATGGCACAGCAGTGCGGTATCGGGGCGTGTTTGGTACCATCACCACCATGGTGCGTACAGAGGGGGCCAGGAGCCTCTACAGCGGGCTGGTGGCAGGGCTCCAGAGGCAGATGAGCTTTGCCTCTGTCCGCATTGGCCTCTACGACTCTGTCAAGTCATTCTACACCAAAGGCTCTGACCGTGAGTACAGGTCACATACTGTATGCCAACCTCAACCTTTTAAATCGATACTAATTCTCTATTGAATGTTACTCCCACTGTTCTGACTGCCCATTTCTCTCTACAGATGTAGGGATTGGCAGTCGCCTGCTGGCGGGCTGTACCACTGGAGCCATGGCAGTCGCATTAGCCCAACCCACAGATGTGGTGAAGGTGCGCTTCCAGGCACAGGCTAGTTCCTCTGGGCCAAACCGGCGTTACCATGGCACCATGGAGGCCTACAAGACCATCGCCAAGGAAGAGGGCATGCGTGGCCTGTGGAGAGGTGGTTGTTTGCTTGATCACACGGATCATTTGTGCCTTTGTCTAATGTTTTTGTCTGTGGTATTGCTAACGTTTCCATCCCCACCTTGCAGGTACTGGCCCAAACATTGCCCGCAATGCTATCGTGAACTGCACTGAACTGGTTACATATGACCTAATCAAGGACGTACTTATTAGAAACACACCCCTGACTGGTGAGCCATTGCCTTGCCACATGCTTCCCTCTGGTATTGTGATGCCTCTCCTTAACCCTTCCCATTCACCCTACAGATGACCTCCCCTGCCACTTCACATCTGCATTCGGTGCAGGATTCTGCACCACTGTGATTGCCTCTCCTGTGGATGTGGTGAAGACGAGATATATGAACTCTGCCCTCGGCCAGTACAGCAACGCCCTCAACTGTGCTATTGCCATGGTGACCAAGGAGGGACCCATTGCCTTCTACAAAGGGTAAACCATGTGTTATGAATAAGTGTTTTAGTTGCTAGGGAGTAGTCTTCTGGATTAGGTTGCAACAGATGGATGATTTTGCCGGGCTCGCGTACACCTCAATCAGTGCTTTAGCGGTTTGTTCGCTGTTGCTGCTTGCTTTGTAACATTCATGAATGTCTAACAACCTGGTAATTAGTTTTCTTTCTCCGGTTTATTGAAACTTTTGCCTGGATCTGAGTTGTCTCAATTCTCTCCCTACAGGTTCATGCCCTCTTTCCTCCGACTGGGCTCGTGGAACGTGGTGATGTTTGTTACATATGAGCAGCTGAAACGTGCCATGATGGCTGGCCGCCAAAACTACACCACTCCTCTGTAGACCTGGCAATTGGCTGCAGTGGAGGGTGATTCTGTGCTGATGTGGTTGCTTTTATTCAACAACAAAAAATGAACATACCTTTTTGTGGCCCTTGTAGTTTCCATTTTTAAACCATTTTTCACTCAAGTATGTTCCTTCATTCACCTTTCACTCAAGTGTGTTCCTGAGACTGAAAAGCTGTTCTTTCTATTGTCTTTTTAAGCTCTAACTTCTGACAATAAAATTGATATTTTTAATTGACTTCTTTTATGCAAGTAACTTCACAAGAATCTCACCTATACCTACTGGTAAAGAACACCATTCTCAAAATAGGGGTCCAAGGAAGGCGATTTCCAATCAGGTTTGAAATCAGGCTTTATTTAATGGCTGTTTTATTCAGAAAGCTAGGGCTTGGTTGATCAGGCGTTTCTTCTCGGCTGAGAGCTTTTGAGGGAAATGTATGTCAAACTGGATGATGAGATCTCCTCTCTGGGGGGGATCCTGGGACAGAGGCATGCCTTCTCCAGACACCACTTTGCTGTATTTGGGACTGGGTGGGGAAGTGAGAATTTTAGCATAAGTCATTGAAACTCTTGACATACAGGGATATCCCATTCAGAACCTTCACTTGCACTTTTGTCAAATCATGTACGAATGACGTCCTGTAAGAATTATTTTACTAAACCATGATCACATACTGTTTTATGGTCTCTTAAAACCAGCAGGGTGGTTGCGAGTCTGTAGTAGCGTCCACTAATCACAAATGGAACGGGCTTGGAAGCTCTAACCCTGGCAATTTGACTGGTACACTCGCAATGGCTGCCTGGTATTGTGATGCAATTTCCATGGTAATTTGGAATGTTCTATCAACTAATTCTGGATTGCCATGGTAATGTAGAATGTTAATTTCAATGATAACTGATGTGGCTCATGGAATGGCATTTTTTTGTAATGTCAGACAGTTGAGTTGACTCAACAAATCACGCCGCATTTCATTAGTGGAAACCAAGACTTCTCAGGGCAGGCCTGAAAATTAGCATTTTAGCTTACCCTTAACTTAATTATCCTAACCTGCTACAAAAAGTCACTTCTAGTAAAAACCGGCAGACCTGCCCTGAGAAGTCTTGGTTTCCACTAATGCGATACAGCACAGATTGAAGGGTACAATGCCTGATTTTACTTCCTGGCATGGGTCTAGGTTCAAAATATACAGGTTAAAACTAGAGGATTCAAATATCCCATAACTTTTTGCGACAATCTTCAACAAGGGACCAGCTTCCGCATAACTGCTTTACTTTAATTTAGACGTTTTTAAAATGATCTACAGCCACTTTATTGCTGGTCACGTTTTCATTGCTAATCCTGTAGAATCCAGCAACGGCACTGGTCTCATTAATTTGTTTATTTTTGAACGCTTCCGCATGGAATTGTCTTAGGCATGGGTACACTCAATGGCTGCCAGTCCATACAGTATGCCATAATTGACCTGAATGTGGATGCCTGTTCTATTCATTCTATTTCTATTACACTAATGTAGTGAAATTGTCTTACAATCATAAACAAAGTCAAGAAGTTACCACCCATACGGTAATAGTAAAAGCACTACTCACTGCACAATGTCATTGATGGGGATATTGAGTATCCTGTCATCTAGTGTCTCCACATCAACAGTGAATCCAGTCAAAGCCTGTGGGAGGAGGAGGAATATACTAATTGTGGGGTGAAAGATCTCAATGCAGATTTGATGGCTAAAGTATTTGGGAAGAAATATAGATATTCTACTCAACATGGGAGACATATTTAGATATGCTACTCAACATTTGCCAACTAAAGTGTAATATTAAACCACAACTGGTATCAGAATGCCCTTGCTTAATAACCAAGTCAGAACACAATCGTTGCACAGTAGATCTGCAATAAATTATTCTTTAGTGACCCATTTTGACCTGGATAAAGCACCAGGTGACTTCGCAGGGATTTGAAGAGAGTTAAACAAAGCAGACTATTGAGTGAAACATTCTCTCTGGACTTTCCCTCCAGGGTCAGACTTTGACCTTCTCACCTTCTCCAGAGAGATCTGGGCTGTAAAGACCAGGTCATTGTGTTGCCTTGCAAACCGGGGATGACTCTTCTGCCGCACAATGAACACAATATCTGCAGGAATACTGTTGGGTCCCTGGAGGAAACAACCAGGTCAAAGACTTGAATGAGCACAACGTGGCAAAAAGTGTTGGGGAGGGTACTCTGAAAATGTACACTGAACAAAAATATAAACACAACATGCAACAACTTCAAAGATTTTACTGAGTTACAGTTCATATAAGGCAATCAGTCAATTGAAATAAATAAATTAGGCCCTAATCTATGGATTTCACATGACTGGGAATACAGATATGCATCTGTTGGTCACAGATTCCTTAAAATAAAAAAAGGTAGGGCGTGGATCAGAAAACCAGTCAGTATCTGGTGTGACCGCCACTTGCCTCAACTCCTTTGCATAGAGTTAATCAGGCTGTTGATTGTGGTCTGTGGAATGTTGTGCCACTCCTCTTCAATAGCTGTGCGAAGTTGCTGGATATTGGCGGGAACTGGAACACGCTGTCGTACACATCGATCCAGAGCATCCCAAACATGCTCAGTGAGTGACAAGTCTGGAAGAACTGGGACATTTTCAGCTTCCTGGAATTGTGTATAGATCCTTGCGACATGGGATCCTGCATTATCATGCTGAAACATGAGGTGATGGCGGCGAGTGAATGGCACGACAGTGGGCCTCAGGATCCCGTCACAGTCTCTCTGTGCATTCAAATTGCCATTGATAAAATGCAATTGTGTTCGTTGTTGTAGCTTATGCCTGCCCATACCATAACAGGGTTCCCACAAGTTGCTTGAGGTGCTTAAAATACTTTAATTTGGCACTCTGAAATTCAAGTACTGGAATAACTTGATAATCAGACATTTTCTCAAGTTGGTACTTGAAAAGTACTTGAATTAAAATGAGAGTACAACAGAAAATGATCAAATATGTTAATATGAAAGATATTAGAAAAATGTATTGGTCTTGGAATTAATTTTTCAGGCAGACTACCGAGTTTTATTTCCTCACGTGTTTTGCGCTCTGGTTGCCAGGTGAGCTCGCTCATCCCACCCACACTGCCACTCAGCCAGGCAGGTACTGAACTGACTGATTAGGCGCCACCAAACGTCACATCGATAGCTAAAATGCCGGTCAAATATAGATTCAATTCTGCCTGGCAGGATATTAATGTTTATGAATGAGGATATTGATGTTTATGAATGGGTTTTGTCAGACTGATTGTCAAAGACTCCAGCCACCCAAGTCATAGACTGTTCTCTCTGCTACCGCATGGCAAGCGGTACCGGAGCACCAAGTCTAGGTCCAAAAGGCTCCTTAACAGCTTCTACCCCCAAGCCATAAGACTGCTGAACAATTCATCAAATGACTACCTGGACTATTTGCATTGATCCCCCCCCCCCCCCCCCCCCCCTTGTTTTTTGACACTGCTGCTACTCTGTTTATTATTACATTTACATTTTAGTCATTTAGCAGACGCTCTTATCCAGAGCGACTTACAGTTAGCGCATACATTATTTTATCGAACCCACAAACCTGGCGTTGCAAACGCCATGCTCTACCAACTGAGCTACATCCCCTCTATGCATAGTCACTTTATCCCTTCTTACATGTACGTATTACCTCAATAACCCCGACTAACCTGTACCCCCACACAATGACTCGGTACCGGTACCCCTCTGTACATAGCCTCGTTATTGTTATTTTATTGTATTATTTATTTTATATACAGTACCAGTCAAAAGTTTGGACACACCTACTCATTCAAGAATTTTTCTTTATTTTTTACTATTTTCTACATTGTAGACTAATAGTGAAGACATCAAAACTATGAAAGAACACATATGGAATCATGTAGTAACCAAAAAAGTGTTAAACAAATCAAAATATATTTGAGATTCTTCAAAGTAGCCACCCTTTGCCTTGATGACAGCTTTGCACACTCTTGGCATTCTCTCAACGAGCTTCATGAAGTAGTCACCTGGAATGCATTTCAATTAACAAGTGTGCCTTGTTAAAAGTTAATTTGTGGAATTTATTTCCTTCTTAAGACAATTTAATATTATTATGTACACTGAACAAAAATATAAACACAACAAGCAACAATTTCAAAGATTTTACTGAGTTACAGTTCATATAACGAAATCAGTGAATTGAAATAAATTCATTAGGCCCTAATCTATGGATTTCACATGTCTGGGCAGGGGTGCAGCCATGGGTGGGCCTGGGAGGCCATAGGCCCACCCACTTGGGAGCCAGGGCCACCCACTGGGGAGCCAGGCCCAGCCAATCAGAATGAGTTTTCCCCCACAAAAGGACTTTATTACACACAGAAATACTCCTCAATTTCGTCAGCTGTCCAGGTGGCTGGTCTCAGACGATCCCGCAGTTGAAGAAGCCGGATGTGGAGGTCCTGGGCTGGTGTGGTTACACATGGTCTGCGGTTGTGAGGCCGGTTGGACTTACTGCCAAATTCTCTAAAACGACTTTGGAGGCGGTTTATGGTAGAGGAATTAACATTCAATTCTCAGGCAACAGCTCTGGTGGACATTCCTGCAGTCAGTATGCCAATTGCACGCTCGCTCAAAACTTGAGACATCTGTGGCATTGTGTTGTGTGACAAAACTGCACATTTTAGAGTGGCCTTTTATTGTCCCCAGCACAAGGTGCACCTGTGTAATGATCATGCTGTTTAATCAGCCTCTTGATATGCCACACCTGTCAGGTGGATGGATTTTCTTGGCAAAGGAGAAATGCTCACTAACAGGGATGTAAACAAATTTGTGCACAACATTTGAGAGAAATAAGCTTTTTGTGCGTATGGACAATTTCTGGGATCTTTATTTCAGCTCATGAAACATGGGACCACCACTTTACATGTTGCGTTTATATTATTTTGTTCAGTGTAGTTTACCAAGCTACCAATTACTTCACACTGGAAAAAGTTAACTACACTAAAGCTACCCTTAAGAAAAAATATAGTCTACTTAACTAAAGTTACTTTGAAAAAGTAGTTCACTACATCCAAACTACTTCGTGAAAGTATATGTATATCTGACATTTCAAAGACAACGTCGATGCAAGAAGAGATCAGTTTGGGGTCATATGTTAACAGAATGCCTATTAAAGACAAATAATGTTTCAAGTGAGAATCAGGCAGGTCTGATGCCGAAAAAGAAAGGAAATGATTGCCAAGATGTTATTTTTGCAAAAAAGTAGTATGTAGTTCCAGTAGTTAGCTACATGGCAAAAAAGTAATAACCTACTGAAAACAATACCTAGATTTGAATTGTGTTCAACTACCACCAAGCTACCACAAAATGTAGTAAATTACTAGTTGAACTACATGTAGTTAACTACTCCCCAACACTGGTGGCTAAGTTGTATCTATAGAAGAGAAACACAGACACTCCCCGCACGACTAGATGTTTATGTGTACAAACATTAATGTGGCAGGTTTGAGCCCGAGGGAACTGACACCTGTAAAACGCATAGCTAAAAAGCACAACAAGATGTAATTTAAGCACTGACGATTCTCTTACCTGATCACCCTCCTTTGGGAATGTTATCCTAGTGTTTTCATTCCATCCCGGTTTTACAATGATAGTCAGTATTTTGTCCTTGATACTGGATGTGTGTCCATCTTCATTCATGACCTGGTTCAGAGGTGGAGCAAATTTATACTGAATCCGATACTGTGGGAATTGCTTGAGAGTCCCAATACAAATACTGTACTCAATGTTTTATGTTCCTCACTGTAGGTTACCTGAAGTAAGCAGTACAGCATCTGAACAGAATAACAATGTTTAAAGTTTGAGCTTTTCTTTTTTTAACTACTCAATATAGGCCTATAGGTATGTTGATTGAGGGACATCTCAACACTCATTAGGCATTATGATCCCATCTTACCCTACGAGATATTTTTATCTTTTTGGTACATCCATAGAAGAGGTCTTCCAAGGCCAAGTGAAGGTCCCTTTCAATGGGGGAGTCTTGTGTTTTCACTCCTCTTCCTCGCAGGCCTCCAAACCCAATGGCCACTTCATTTCCATCTTTCGTGTGGAAGTCTGAAGAGGGAAGCATTATCATGCAAGAACAGGAAGAGTTGTCATTATTATGGAGATAATTTAGATAAATCAAACAAGTAAAACGTATATAAAGAAAATACTGAATGTCCTTTTTCCTACCTGCGAATGGGTTGTCACCTCCAAAAAACTGCCTGAATGTCTTGTCTGGGTTTCCATGGTAGATGTATGCTGATGTCCAAGCTCTATTCTCCCCAGACTCAAGTGGGATACCTCCTTTCAGACCCTCTTCTCCAAACTTGTCATATGTTGCCTTTTTTCGAGCTGAAAAATAAATATTGTGGGCCTATCATTTTATGTGACTTGACGTCTCTGAAGCTTTTCCCAAGCACTGGCTACACTGCTGATTGTTGTAAAGTTTACTTACGGTCACTCAAAACATCATAGGCCTCGGCAAGTTGATTGAATTTTTCATAAGCACCCGGTTTGCTGTTAGTGTGAGGATGGTACTTCAAGGCAAGTCGTCGGTATCTACAGGGACAAAAAATATAGCTAGGCATTGTTGTTGTTTTTATGAAAACGTATCTAGTAGGCTAGCTAATGTAATGTATGTAAACATTGTTTTAGCTTGTGCCATTTTGAGACAAAGATTTAAAAAAGTAACTAAACTTACGATTTTTTTATGTCTGCATCTGTTGCATTTCTGTTTATCTCCAATGCCGCATAATAATCCCTCCCCATAGTCGATCAAAATAAAATGAACATGTAATATATGAAAACCAAACTAAGAAAAGCTAAACAAATATAGATAGCTAACTAGCAACGTTACTGTTAACTAGCTCTTACGGTAACAAAATAAAAACATGGAAACGACAGTTGTTTGAGCTTTCTGGATTTGGTTGCCATGGATGAGGGACGCTCCAAATGTATTTATTGGGAGTTGCCGATGGATGGCGCCAAATCAAAGGTCGCAACCAATGTAGTCACAACTACAGATGATCCATTATGTTGACCAGATACTCAACTCAAATGGCCGCTCTAATGAGAAGAAGTGTCTTAAAAAATGGAAGGCAGTCGGGAGGAGGCAAGATCAGGTGGGAAGATTCTAGACAATGAGAGCGTGCGAACAGGCACAACTCTGATATAAAATGTTTTTTCTCAAAGTTGCCGGGATGTCACGTGTCCTAATTATATCAGTACAGTCGTAACAACCTAAGCATTACGCGTTTTCTATTCGATCAAATAAACCACACGTTGTAAATACACTTTTGGGGGGTTAACCAAATTCGACACTCTAATGACCTCCATATAAAAACCGCCACCTGCTGGAGAAGAGATTTTTCATGGCTAGAAGGGGTACACATTTTGAGGGGGATGTTTATCATTGGCGTAGTTTGGAGTCGAACCGATCAGAGGACTTGCGGAGCCTCGTAAATGGCGTCCCTTGAGAAAGCAAGAAACAGATGTATGTCAGAAGAAGTGCAGTATTATCATAAGGAGACGTATACTTGGATGACGGAGGAGGAATGGAGGGAAAAAGAGGCAGAGGAGGTCTAAGAGAGAGAGCGAGGAAGACTGTGAGCTTGAGTCGGTAAGAAATGGTGGGAGAAGGTTTGTTAATGAAGGATGGTAGAGGGAGACGAGCAGAGAGGACGCGAGGAATCAAGGCAATGCATTGGCGAAGGTGCATAAAGATGGAGGAATTCAGATATAAAGACATTGTTTTTAGCTCTACCTACAGAGTTATTAAACTACAGCGTGCAACATGGTTGAATGTGCCAGTAAATCAGCACAATGTACTTGTATGTAACTTTTAGAAATTGCTGCGGTCTTGGATATTTGGGATCATTTATACTGTGCTAATGCCGATACAAAAAAAATTGTATGGAGAGCAATGTACAATACGGTAAACGGGCATTTGTGGTAAGTACATGGGGGCCGCCATCTTTATGCCCCTTCGCTATTGAGATTCTCCCAAGATAATTTCTCTGTCCTATCACTAAACAATGAAAATGGTTGGTTTCCATTGATTCTATTATAGGCAGTTGACTTTCGTGAGCCGGTAGACCCCAGGGTTGAAGGGCCCATTCAAAAGCTAGCTTTGGCAGGGGCTAGAAAGGTCAGCGAGGTGAAGAGGCACATAGAAATCTTTGTTTCCGATCTGTTCAGATACGAGGATCCACCCCCTCGTACAAGGAGGAGATTCTACCCTCTGGGTATATATGTGTGTGTGTGTATATATGTGTATATGTATGTATGTCCACTGTAGCCTCTGTGTTACAAACACACCAACGCAGCATAGCTGACGAAAAGAGGCACAGAGTACCTGCAGGTGCGATACGTTGCATCCAACAGGCACATCTGTTGCCCATAGTGCATCAGAAGCCTTTGCTGCCAGCAGGTCTGTCTGCAGGCAGAACAGCAGTTTTGTTGTATCCTCGCTTGGAGGGTAGCAAATGTGACAGCCCCTGTCTGTCCAAGTGTCAACAAGGCTCTGAAAATTTAAGTAGAAATGTTTTCCTTAATACAAACAGCAAAGTGATACAGCAAGTGATACAGATGCAATTTCAGTCCTAACAACATGATCTGTTGGAATGCCTTGTGCTCCCCTAGACTCTCTCTCATATATATATATATGTATATATATGTACTCTGTGCCTCTTTTCATCAGCTATGCTGCGTTGGTGTGTTTGTAACACAGAGGCTACAGTGGACATCAAGGAGGCCCTTCAGGTCTACCAGTAGTGGAATCCTGCTTGGAAGCCAACACATTTCATGGTGGACTTCTCTGAGTCAGATTGGTGCCCTGGAGTATGTGTTCCAAGGTGAGATGTGGCACATTATTATGGATAACAATTCATACCGACTGTTTCTGGCATAGCAATAGCTAATTTTTTTCTGTAATGATGTAGTACCGGTATGTATACTACATTTGTTAGCATTATTTTGCATAGACGATCTTGATGTTCTTACTGCATTTGTTGAGTGCATACTCTCCATAAGTGTCTGCTAAATGTCATGCAATGTATTATTCCCTTTAGAGTCCAAAGTCTGGGTGGAATGGATACACAAGAAGGACAATGGAGTCAGCTGCCAGGACGAAGTCCTCAGTCTTCTGCAGGCAATCCCATAGAGAAAGAGTTTCACAAGCGTGTCCTTGCCCTCAACCACACAACAGCTTGGGAGACCAATGAGAAGCTCAGGAGGTGGTTCAGCATCAAATGGCTACCTCAAGCCAAGGTGGGCATAAATTGTCTATCTCTATGTATTAATTCTTACTATGCATTTTGTATGATTAGATGCCTTGTCAGTTGAATATTGCATATTTGTTTTGGTAGTTATTTTCAACAATGTCATGTCTCTGTCAAAAGAGATGGGTGAATGTGTTCAGGGGCGAATCTCTCAAGTTGGCCATTTTCACAAACAATGGTGTTGAAAGGCAGAATGAGACCCTCAAGCATTCATTCTTAGAGGGATACAAAAACTGCAGCCTCAGTGAACTGCTCTCTGTAGTGGTCATGGATTTATTTTCTTCTAAAAACCAATCAGAAGTAAGGTCAAATGAATAACATTTTGATGATTTTCCTGATCTCGTATTCTTATTTATTATGATTAAAGAAACTTCGAGCTGAATGTGAAGTACTCCAGTTTTGGCCCTGGCAACAACATGCCAACATACACCTGCAAGGATTGGCTTAGAAACCCTGTCAGCACTTCTGCGCAGTGTTCGATAGGTTGGAGGGTTAGAAGCAACTCAACAAAACATACAGGGACAACCCTCTGATTTCCCTTGACAACGTGTGCCTGAGACGCACCCCTGCCAGAGGCCTCCCCTCCCACTTAAGACACCCCTGCCAGAGGCCTCCCCTCCCACTTAAGACACCCCTGCCAGCCATTTGAGCAAGACTAAGACCAAAAGATGCCAGCAGTGTGGTAGCCTGCTGCGAGACATCTCAGAGCTCACATATCACCTCCAGGACAATGAGTACATGGACACAGTAATCTCACGCCTCACTGACCTGTTAGATTACCTGTTAGTGAGGTTATATGGATGGATCTGGCAGCGGGACAAAGAGGAGAAGAGAGATGATGGGTAAGAATATTTTATTTTGCCCTCCTCACCCAGACATGCTAAATATATTCCATCTCACCCTCTTCCTCTCCTGTCTTAAGCACAAGAACCCAGATGCTGGGAACAAGGTAAAACAAGGTAAGGTAAATAAAATGTTAAGGAACATCAGTGGGAGTTAACACACATCTAAATATACATAACATATCCTAACATACAAAACACCACACTACATACAGCAGATAAAACAAATCTAGGACTACACACTAACCAATCAAACAAGGGTTAGGGTTGTATCAGCCATTATAATACTTACACCTATTCAAACATCTCCACCAGGTCTAACATATCTATCCAGACAATATTTTGTTACTTTTCAGGAGAAAAAATAGAGGGGACTGGAAGGGAAAAGAGGAGCAGTGAGACAAGGAGGGGGAATAAATGGAAGAGGAGACAGAAGAGGGGACAGGAGGCAGTGGAGAAGAGGGTAGTGGAGAGGGTTCGACTTTATATTAGGAGAGCGAAGGTTCCACTGTTTTTTTGTATTTTTTATAAAGAGTTCCACATGTTTTTGGTGTTTTTAAAGGAAAATAATAATAAAAATGAAATCTAAGCAGCCAATGACTGTTCTTTTTTTCTCTCTCATGCCATATTACTGGCTGATAACAATTCATGTTTGTATTTACATCATGGAATGTAGTGCTCAGTAGAAAGTATATTTATTAGGGAGTTGTAGCGAGCTCCCCAATGGTACTGCTAGCTAGCGATTATGTGGAAATCAAGTCCTGTCTGCTGTAGAACACGCAAACTCTCGTAATAAACGGGACTATGACAACTTTTACAAAATCTGTATCACTTCTAGACATGACCAGATTTTGGCCCGCTTCGCCTCTAACTCTGTCAACGCATACTGTCAGCCAGGCCATAAACACGTCTGCCTCTGGTTGTGCTTTATCTATGCAATCAGTCAAACCACCGTTAATCCATTGATAAATACATGTTTTCAGTACACTGATTGACCTTACTCTTGCTTTTCGCATCCGATGAAGCAATTTATACACCAAGAATAAACCAACTGTCACGCCCTGGCTCTAGGGACTCTTATATGTTGAGCCAGGGTGTTAGTTTCGATGTGTAGTTCTATGTTTCGTTTTCTATGTTCTTGTTCTAGTTTATGTGTTTCTATGTTGGCCGAGGTGGTTCCCAATTAGAGACAGCTGTGGCTCGTTGTCTCTGATTGGGAACCATACTTAGGCAGCCTTTTGTGCACTTGTCATTTGTGGGATCTTGTTCCGTGTAGGTTTGTGTTTATGACCGAGGACTTCATGTTTCGTTTTGTTATTGTTAATAGTACTCAATAAAAGATGTACGCATTTCACGCTGCGCCTTGGTCCACTCATTACAACGATCGTGACAGAAGATCCCACCAAAACAGGACCAAGCAGCGTTTCCAGGAGCAAACGCCGGAGGTAACGTTGGTAGATGTCCTCCTCGGTTGGGGGAGGATAACGGAGGAGGAGGCCGTCCGTTACTGGAGGGCGATGAAGGGGGAGACCCAGGCAGGAGAGGAGAAGCGGCGCCAACCGGGCCGTCGTCGGACAGGCGAGAGGCAACCCCAAGAAAAATTTTTTGGGGGGGCACACGGCATGGACGACGGGGCTGCTGGAGGCAGCTACAGGGCGAGATTGTGGACTAGGAGAGAAGGCTACCAGGTTACGGGGGCCATTGGTCATTAGAGGGAAGGAGAGTGTAGAGGCACGGCGAGAGGTACTGGGGTGTGTTACCAGTCCGGTCCGGCCCGTTCCTGATCCCCGCACAAGGCCAGTGGTGTGTGTTCCCTGTACGGTCCGGCCTGTTCCTGTCCCTCGCACCAAGCCTGTGATGCGCGTCGCCGGCCCGGCCTGTTCCTGCCCCTCGCACCAAGCCTGTGGTGCGCTTCGCCAGCCCGGCCCGGCCTGTTCCTGCCCCTCGCACCAAGCCTGTGGTGCGCGTCACCTGCCCGGCCCGGCCTGTTCCTGTCCCTCGCACCAAGCCTGTGGTGCGCGTCGCCAGCCCGGTCCGGCCTGTTCCTGCTCCCCGCACCAAGCCAGTGGTGCACGTCGCCAGCCCGGCCCGGCCTGTTCCTGCCCCTCGCACCAAGCCTGGGGTGCGCGTCGCCAGCCCAGCCCGGCCTGTTCCTGCCCCTCGCACCAAGCCTGGGGTGCGCGTCGCCAGCCCGGCCCGGCCTGTTCCTGCCCCTCGCACCAAGCCTGTGGTGCGCGTCGCCAGCCCGGTCCGGCCTGTTCCTGCTCCCCGCACCAAGCCAGTGGTGCGCGTCGCCAGCCCGGTCCGGCCTGTTCCTGCTCCCCGCACCAAGCCAGTGGTGCGTGTCGTCAGCCTGGTCCGGCCCGTTCCTGCTCCCCGCACCAAGCCTGTGGTGCGCATCGTCAGTCCGGCACAGCCCGTGCCTGTTTCACCGGTGCCTGGTCAGGTACCGGTCAGCTGCTCCACACCGGAGCCTAAGCAATCCGCTCCACCGATGTCCAGTCCAGCTCCAGCCAGCGGGGCCAGACCAGACCAGGGGCGCTACGGGGGGGGTAGTCACGCCCGGAGCCGGATCCGCCTCCGAGGCGGAATGCCCACCCGGCCTCTCCCCTGTTGGGTTTAGTTGGCGCGGTCGCAGGGGGGGGGGGTACTGTCACGCCCTGGCTCTAGGGACGCTTATATGTTGAGTCAGGGTGTCAGTTTCGATGTGTAGTTCTATGTTTCGTTTTCTATGTTCTTATTCTAGTTTATGTGTTTCTATGTTGGCCAGGGTGGTTCCCAATTAGAGACAGCTGTTGCTCGTTGTCTCTGATTGGGAACCATACTTAGGCAGCCTTTTGTGCACTTGTCATTTGTGGGATCTTGTTCCGTGTAGGTTTGTGTTTATGACCGAGGACTTCACGTTTCGTTTCGTTTTGTTATTGTTAATAGTACTCAATAAAAGATGTACGCATTTCACGCTGCGCCTTGGTCCACTCATTACGACGATCGTGACACCAACTAGTTGGATTTTAGAATAAATATTTTATTTGAAGCTACAACAGCAATGTATATGTCCTACATTCACCCACAACTCATTTATTATATGTACATGTCATGATTAAAATAAAATACGATGGAAAAAAATATGCATAGGCATCCACTGCTTCAAAGGTGAAAAGGTAGATGTCAGAAAAAGTATGATGACAGTTGAGGTAAAAGGGTGGGGTGGACAGTCTTTGCTCTCACTAGGTCATCTGTGCCATCAGTCCCCCTAGCTCTGGACGTGCCTTGAAACAGGCTTTTGTAATCTGCCTCTGTGTGCTGGGGGAAACATAAAAGCAAGTGTTATGACATTGAACAATTACTAACAAAAGAAGTTTACATAGATATAGGATATGATCCATGTGCAAAAGAAAAGTCATGCAGAGGTCAACACAGACGGAAGATGCTCACTGGCTTTACAGAGAGTTGAACCCCCTCTGGCTGATTCTTCAACAGAACCTCCATAAAGATGGGGCATAATGTGGTGTTTAGTTGGCTGAGCTGTGAACACAATACAAAACACTTATTAATGCTCTAGAGTGAAAAGTTATGTCAGTGCAACTGCCAAAAGTTCAGAGAACACATTATTAACACTCAAAACACTATTACCTGAACAATTCGCTCATGGGGATGGCTTCTACATACATCTTGGTCCCTTGCTCCGGCATGACCATGACTTCTGTGCTCTTAGTGGGCAATGCATAGCTGAGATGAGAAGAGAATAGTTCATTCCTTTAAGGTTTGTTAAGAACCACAATGGAAATAAGCTGTTAAGCTTTATTGTGTTATCCTTGATGATTTTCTTCAATTGTATGTGGAGGCGTCACCGGCTGGAGCGCCCTTATGTATGTATTTGACAAATTGTCAATCAATTAATAAATCAAAGACCTTGGATGATGTAATTCCATGCTATGCAAGAGGGCCAAATATGTGCCTCCTATTGAAGCATTATGAACTTTGCAACAGACATGGATATTTGGGACATAAAATCACAGAGTGAGGCCAGTAACACAGTGTCTTGAAATCTATCGCTCAGCCACTTTGACACCTAGCCGATTGCAGAGGTTGTAGATGTACTGGGAGTAGTGTTCCACTAGGATCATGTCATACCCAGACACTTTCACGGTCAGAGTACCATACTCTGCATCTGTTGCCGTTTTGATCTGCTTCATCTGCTGTCTCTCTTTTTCTTAGGCTGAAGGCACCATAAATATGTTTTATTAGAAAGTTGATATGGTAAGAGTGTAAGCTGGTGGCTTCAGTATTAGAAAGTACACTGCTCAAAAAAATTAAGGGAACACTTAAACAACACAATGTAACTCCAAGTCAATCACACTTCTGTGAAATCAAACTGTCCACTTAGGAAGCAACACTGATTGACAATAAATGTCACATGCTGTTGTGCAAATGGAATAGACAACAGGTGGAAATTATAGGCAATTAGCAATAGACCCCCAATAAAGGACTGGTTTTGCAGGTGGTGACCACAGACCACTTCTCAGTTCCTATGCTTCCTGGCTGATGTTTTGGTCACTTTTGAATGCTGGCGGTGCTTTCACTCTAGTGGTAGCATGAGACGGAGTCTACAACCCACACAAGTGGCTCAGGTAGTGCAGCTCATCCAGGATGGCACATCAATGCGAGCTGTGGCAAGAAGGTTTGCTGTGTCTGTCAGCGTAGTGTCCAGAGCATGGAGGCGCTACCAGGAGACAGGCCAGTACATCAGGAGACGTGGAGGAGGCCGTAGGAGGGCAACAACCCAGCAGCAGGACTGCTACCTCCGCCTTTGTGCAAGGAGGAGCAGGAGGAGCACTGCCAGAGCCCTGCAAAATGACCTCCAGCAGGCCACAAATGTGCATGTGTCTGCTCAAACGGTCAGAAACAGACTCCATGAGGGTGGTATGAGGGCCCGACGTCCACAGGTGGGGGTTGTGCTTACAGCCCAACACCGTGCAGGACGTTTGGCATTTGCCAGAGAACACCAAGATTGGCAAATTCGCCACTGGCGCCCTGTGCTCTTCACAAATGAAAGCAGGTTCACACTGAGCACATGTGACAGACGTGACAGAGTCTGGAGACGCCGTGGAGAACGTTCTGCTGCCTGCAACATCCTCCAGCATGACCGGTTTGGTGGTGGGTCAGTCATGGTGTGGGGTGGCATTTCTTTGGGGGGCCGCACAGCCCTCCATGTGCTCGCCAGAGGTAGCCTGACTGCCATTAGGTACCGAGATGAGATCCTCAGACCCCTTGTGAGACCATATGCTGGTGCGGTTGGCCCTGGGTTCCTCCTAATGCAAGACAATGCTAGACCTCATGTGGCTGGAGTGTGTCAGCAGTTCCTGCAAGAGGAAGGCATTGATGCTATGGACTGGCCCGCCCGTTCCCCAGACCTGAATCCAATTGAGCACATCTGGGACATCATGTCTCGCTCCATCCACCAACGCCACGTTGCACCACAGACTGTCCAGGAGTTGGCGGATGCTTTAGTCCAGGTCTGGGAGGAGATCCCTCAGGAGACCATCCGCCACCTCATCAGGAGCATGCCCAGCCGTTGTAGGGAGGTCATACAGGCACGTGGAGGCCACACACACTACTGAGCCTAATTTTGACTTGTTTTAAGGACATTACATCAAAGTTGGATCAGCCTGTAGTGTGGTTTTCCATTTTAATTTTGAGGGTGACTCCAAATCCAGACCTTGTGTGATTTTGTTTTCAGCACATTCAACTATGTAAAGAAAAAAGTATTTAATAAGATTATTTCATTCATTCAGATCTAGGATGTGTTATTTTAGTGTTCCCTTTATTTTTTTGAGCAGTGTATATACAAGTGATCTACTAAGGACAGTCTTTCCACTTCTTTGGGTAACAGGTGCTTATATTTGCCAATCCCATGGGTAGGCATGGTCCTGTATTGTCTCATTGGCAAAAGCCAGACTCCCTGTAGAAAACAGTTATCCAGTCAAACAGATAGCCTAGATACACTTAGGTAATTATATAAGTGCCAATATCACTTTCAGGATATAATCTTAGTGATGTTAAGTTTGATACCGGAGCTCCGATGCATGCTTCGAAATCGCTAAGCAGCTAACTTTGAAGCAGTGTTCTTATGCGTGTATCACTTCATCAGAAGTCAGTCATCAATGATGTCCGAAGCTTTGTTTGATCACGTGCTTTTTCAAACCGTGTGTTGCAAAATGTGAGATACCACTGATTTTGTCGTGGTTCCAGTGCTTTCCTAGATTTAAAAACTGCTTTCAAACACCGGATTTACAAATATAGTTAGGTTTTGTATAAAAAGTTTCACCTGATTGGTAGTTTAGCAGGTAGAGTAGGGAACAGTGAGGGACTTGAGGGTATGAGGTCGAATCACGTTGAAAGCACACTATTTCAAATTGTTTTGTGAAACCACACTTTCTGCACTGTTGTTCAAATGTTTTTATTTAGTATAGTATAAAGCTTTGTCTTAAGCATCCTAAATAATGCCATAGATTCAGTTTTTGAAAAAGAGTAAACTTGAAGGCAAAAAAGGCAAGCATGATGTAAGATTGCGAACCTGGTATTTCACCTGATTATAGGCTACTAAAGCCAACGAATTATTGCTGCGCCAGTTTTATTGAAAACAGTGTTAAAAAAAACAGTTCTGATATTCACACGCTGCTATTTATTGCTGACCAGTTGTCACTAATGTGCATTGTGAACAGATAAAAAAGCTCAGAGTAATTAACTGTTTTTTGGGCACAATTTGGTGAAAGGGCCGAAGCCTTCAGAAATCCTTGGTTACTCATCACTAATATAATCACTTCCTAAGGCTTTCCTATAAAGTCTAAATGTATACACATAATAGTAACTTATTATTGTTATTGGGGGAGGACTTACCCTGAATCGGATGTTTCACTGATACTGATGCCCTAAAAATAAAAGAAACAGACATCAAGAGGTAGCTAGCTACCACCCATAGACTTAGACATTGTATCTGTCCCATTATGGAGTCTGAGTGCACGGGCAGCGCGATTGAGGCCATCTCCATTTTGAAGTAGTCAATTTTCTTCTAATACTTCTATGAGTGTGTGTTTGAACAGGTATACAGCCAAGGTTGGTGATTTACTGCCACCTGCAGTTTTGGAATGTTTCCTCACAGGTATAATTCATTGGCTGATCCCTCCTGGTGACCTCCTGCTGATCCCTTCCTTAACCCATAGGAAGTCCCACCCAGTTGACTACTGCAAAATGATGAAATCCCTCAATGGCGCTGCCCATGCTAAAACAGACTTTTGGGCACTTGAGTATCTATCTCTGTGCTACCACCCCATTGAATGAAACCTGACCTTGTAATTATTGTGTCCTGGAACAACCAGCAATTGACTGCTTATAGGCTTATGCTTTTAACTAACTTACCTTAATAACAATGCTGCTTGGTCCAATGCACGTGAATGAAGTGCCAATGAGGCCTGTCACTGGATAGAAAACAAACAATCTATCATACAAGTGTTTTGATATGATATACTGACATGTTTGACCTTCCTTCTTGCTAGCCAGCTAACTACAACCTGTATCAAATATGCTATTTCTTGGTAGAAGGGACATTACCTTGCGAATGACAGGATTAATTGCTCAAATTTTAAGCTGAAGTAATCAAGTCATAAATCTCGAAAGTATGTTAGATTCACAATTTAGCAGTATCTAGTTGTTGCACATGTACACGAGGTTCTGAGAAAAAGCTTCCGGTTGGTCCACCTGACTCAAATGTAATATCGGAATAAGGACAATATCTTAGTTCCGCTTTCAAATGATCCTTGCTTCTGTTTTATTTGCATTTTCTTTCATGTATTAATCAAAGGCAGTAAAAGACAAGTATGAGAGTCTGATACAGCAAAACAAGTATATAACATGACATCTTTGCAAGAACCTTTGCTTGTATTTACGGGAATGAAGACATTGTGTTCAAAGTCCGACAACAGACTGATTCAGTATGATGTTGGATAAAATAATAAAGACAGACACAAATGTCAAGTTCAATAGCCTTGTTCAAGCATTGTACAAGTCCCGACACACAGAGTCCAGGGTACAGCCCAGCTAGTCGATTACCTATCAACTAGACTCCGTAACATGATCCTTTTCAATAGAAAGTGCAAACATAACGGCACAACAATTGAAAAAGCATTACATTTTCTTTTTACTTCAGTTGTCATCTTCCTCTTTGTTTTTTTTGTTTTTATATAAACAGAGGACAAGTTAACACAGTCCCTTGCTTACAGAGTAAGCCTGTCCGGTGGCTTGCACAGCCGACCCACCCGTGAGTAAGTATGGGCTCTGACGGGTAGGATTAGGGCCAGGAGCTGGAGAGCTTGATGGGGTAGAAGCCTCACCTTCAGTTGGCTCATGTCTCAATTCTGCGCCCTTAGGCCTGGACTTTGATCCAGCTCATCTAGGTGAGTGTATGGCATGTTCTGGTTTGTTGTCTGCTCTGCTACGCGCAGATCCAACTGATTGCGATGATACCGGGAGCCACCAACATCCACCAGGTAAGAACATGGTGCAACTCAATGTAGACACGTGCCCAGCCTCCAAAGTCCTGTGTGGTCTCCCGGCAGCGGTTTCATCATTATCGTTTCACCCACCTCCAGCTCTGGTAGGTCTCGAGCAGTCCGGTCGTAGAAGCACTTAGCGAGCTGCTTTCAGTGGCGCAGTTGTCTGTGAAGCCAACCATGACGCAGGGCTCAAGTAGCTTGTTAGCTACGGTGATGGTAGTCTTCAGACGTCTGGACAGAAGGCGTTGTGCTGGGCTGCTGTCCATGTTTTCGGTGGGTGTGTTCCTCCACTGTAAGACGGCTTTCCAGGGGTCGTTGCTGTCACGCAAGGCCCTGCTTAACAGGTTTTTTGTAATCTTGACAGCTGACTCTGCCTTGCCATTTGCCTTTGGGTGCCTTGGAGAGGAGGTCACGTGGTCAAACTCCCATTCTGAGGCGAAACACTTGAACTGTGCAGTGAATTGTGGGCCATTGTCCATGATGACCTTGTCAGGCTGGCCTTGCCTTGCAAACTGGTATGGCCAACCTGTGAGAACCTGTTGAACTGTGCAGTGAATTGTGGGCCATTGTCCATGATGACCTTGTCAGGCTGGCCTTGCCTTGCAAACTGGTACGGCCAACCTGTGAGAACCTGGACTTCAGTGACTGTACAGTGAGGGAA